GAGGGTACTATTATTCCTTGTCCTATGTGGTTAGCCAGCACCTTTGGGGCCTTTCTGGGTTCTTTCCATTGATTAAAAGAGTCAGGTATTTCTTTGGTGAGTCACCTTCATTTACAAAAAAAAGGTTCACAAAGTCCTATTTTTGTGGACTCAGTAGGAATAAGCAGGGACAGGTTGTTGCCTTACTCACAATTCCTCTCCTGTACTATCTGCTACCTATCAGATGCCACACTCATGAAAAGCTTTTCTGGCTCTCTGCCTGTTTTCTGTTTCTGACACACTTAGACAAAGCTGCAGCCAATCAAAGCCCTATCCTCCGTACTAGCAATCAGTCCCTATGGGCTTTTAATGTCCCACCAGGCTTAATCGTGGACTACTAGAACTGGAAGGGACCTCAAGAGGTCATCAAGTCCAGTCCCCTACCCTCATGGCAGGACTCAGTACCGTCTAGACCAGGGGTGGCCAACCCGTTAGAGACGAAGAGCCAAAATAGCGGTGGATAGAGTGTGAAGAGCCACGTACTGGGGAGGAAAGTTGTTGAGCTAAAAAAAAAACCCAGCACCGGGAGAAAACGGGTGAAAATAGGTGCCGGTACGCCGTCCCAGGGCATACCATCACAAAAAAGGGGAAAAGGTGAGAGGGACAAGCTCTGGGAGGGAATTTGGGTTCAGGAGGAAGTAGAGAAGAGGATGCTGGCTCAGAGAGGGGACTCCAGGTTGGAAAGTGCTGGGGTCAGGTAGAGGGTTAGGGTGCTGAGCAAACCGCTGTGAGGGTGCAGGAGTTTGGGTTAGGGTTCATGAGAGGCACAGGGCAGGAAGGTTGGGAGTAAGATGGGCTCAGGACACAGATTTGCAGTGTGTGGATGGTGCAGGAGTGTTGTGACAGAAGACTGGGGATGTGGGGATGAAGGAGTTTGGGGATGTGAGAGGCTTAGGACAGGGGATTCCAGTGTATGACAGGCTCAGGTTTGAGGTCTGGGAGGGTGCAGGTGTATTATGATGCTGCAGCCAGATGGGGGCTTGGCTACAATTGGGAGCTTGTTGGCCAGGCTTCATTTTTAAATAAAATATTATGTCAAACACAAAATGTTTCAGCACTGTCTTCATTTATGAGAGGGGCGAGGAACCTGTTTTGAGTCGGGGCCACACAAGTGAGATGCAAAAAACAACCCCTCCAAAAAAAACCAATCCTCACTAATGTGGCCTCAATTGTGCTGGTGGGGACAGAGGACAGAGTGCTGCGAAGTGCGTGCTCTTCCTGGCTGTGTCTAGACTACATGCCTCTGTCGGCAGAGGCATGTAGATTAGGGTTGTAGGCAAAGGTAAATGAAGCCGCGATTTAAATGATCACGGCTTCATTTACATTTATATGGCTGCCGCGCTGAGCTGACAAACAGCTGATCAGCTGTTTGTCGGCTCAGCCATGTAAATGTAAATGAAGCCGTGATCATTTAAATCGCGGCTTCATTTACCTTTGCTGAAGATCAGCTGTTTGTCGGCTCAGCGCAGCAGCCATGTAAATGTAAATGAAGCCGTGATCATTTAAATCGCGGCTTCATTTACCTTTGCTGAATAAACAAATCTACATGCCTCTGCCGACAGAGGCATGTAGTGTAGACGTACCCCCTCTGTTCCCCATGAGAGCTGCGTGCTTCCTGAGAAGTTGGAGCTGGCATGCAATACCAGGATTCCCACTCCTCCCCCCGCCCGTCTTTCACCGGGTCCCCATCCCCTCCTCCAGATCCAGGACCTCCCCACTCTAACCCAATCCCCCTCACCTCTCCCAGAGCCGGCCCCCCCTCTAATCCAATCCCCCTCCCCTCCTTTCCCCAGAACCAGGCACCCTGCCCCCCACTCTAACTCAACCCTTCTCCTCTCCCAACCTAATGCCTGGATTCCGGAACTGCCACTGCTACTGCCATGTGTGTCTCCCTCTAGGAGGGCACTGCTGCCGCCACTACCGCCATGTGCCTCTCCTTGCAGGTGCAGGGCACGTGCGCTGAGTGGCCGGCCTTTAGCACACGCTGGCTTTGATGCCGAGTGCAAGGGACTGACCGTGAGCATGCTCTGGCTGGGATGCCAAGCGTGCGTGGCGGAGGGGAGTGAGCATGAGCGGAGTGGTGGCCATGAGCACACACTGGAATGTGGCTCAGAGTGGCTTGGCCCTGAGCAACCTTGTGCCGAGTGGCCAGTCTGATGATAATTTTTTAATAAAAAAAATTTAATCGAGAGCCACAATTTTTCCATCAAAGAGCTGCATGCAGCTCGTGAGCCGCAGGTTGGCCACCACTGGTCTAAACCATCCCACGTAGATGTCTGTCTAACCTGCTCTTAAATATCTCCAGAGATGGAGATTCCACAACTTCCGTAGGCAACTTATTCCAGTGTTTAACCACCCTGACAATTAGGAAGTTTTTCCTAATGTCCAACCTAAACCTCCGTAATGTATGGTTAAGCCTGCATGTGGCCTAGTGCCTTGGACAGTGACTTCCATTATCTCATGCTATCTTGCACTATAAAGGAATTTCAATGCTTCTTCCATTCAGCTTGAATTAAGTGTAGCCAGCATGCCCATCAGCTGTGACTGCAGATCAGTCATTGGCATGCGTGATGGTAACCTACCAGCATAAGAGCATCATCATTATTTCTTTTTTTAACGTCTGAGTTGAGATTGACTAAATTCTCTTGATGTTATAGTGCCAGATTGTGTCCAGTCCAGCATGGGATGTAATTGTGGGGAAGGGTTACCAACGAGCACACTTGTACCTCTCTAGAAGAACGAGCCATAGTCCTTGCACGCTACTTCCCTTCACACCAGCTAGCACCCATTTCAAGACTTATGTCTAAATTAGTCTCTCAACATTCTGGATTAGTTGGTTAGAACTTCTTCAGGAACTCCTGCTGCAGCACAACCTATGCTCAATCCTCAGCTCCAGGAGGAAATCAAGTTGGCATTTACTTCATTCTGAACTTCATTACTTCATTCTATATTCTAGTCTATGATTAACATATTCAATGTGTTGATTTATCTTTTACATTTATAGGGTAGTGAGAGTTGCCTTTTTATCTGAGCTACAAAGGGAGTTTAACAAACATCAGACAAACCTTCTCTTCTAGGTCAACTAGTTTGCTCCCCATTCCTACTCCTTAATCTCTTCACTACATTGGTGGCTTTTTATCAATGACAGCTCACCTCAACCCCTTTTTGAGGCAGGACCATACAGAATCCTGCTACTGCTGCTGCTGCTTTAATATTGAACTTCTAATTTGGTGTCTGCTACATGTACAGGATTAAAGTGAAGGGGGGGGACACAGATCTCTTCAAACTCCAACTTTTTCCTCTCTTTTTTATGTAACAACACACAACTGAAGACAAAATTGTGTGAAAACAGTGTGATAATCAGTTTTATTATTTATGGAACTGGATTACTGCCCAGTTCTACCTCTGCTTTTGTCCAGTTCTGGGCACTACATTTCAGGAAAGATGTGGAGAAATTGGAGAAAGTCCAGAAAAGAGCAACAGAAATGATTAAAGGTCTAGAAACATGACCTACAAGAGAAGACTGAAAGAATTGGGTTTGTTTAGTTTAGAAAAGGGAAGACTGAGAGGGGACATGATAGCAGTTTTCAAGTACCTAAAAGGGTATCACAAGGAGAAGGGAGTAAAATTGTTTTCCTCGGCCTCTGATGATAGAACAAGAAGCAGTGGACTTAAATTGCAGCAGCATAGGTTTAGGATGGACATTAGGAAAAACTTCCTAACTGTCATGGTGGTTAAACACTGGAATAAATTGCCTAGGGAGGTTGTGGAATCTTCATCTCTGGAGATCTTTAAGAGCAGGTTAGATACACATTTATCAGGAATTATGTAGACAGTGCTTGGTCATAGCATGAGGACAGGGACTGGACTTGATGACCTCTCAAGGTCCCTTCCAGTTCTGGAATTTTGTGATGATTCTATGATGATCATTTAAAAGGAGGCTCAGTGATCTTTTATGCCAGACTTTTTATGGAGCCAGCTGGCCTGCACCCCTACCCCTTTACAAAGTCCTGAGATCAACAGCCTATTTTCTGCTCTTAACCTCTTTGCGGGAATGGGAGGAGTAAGATATATCCACTTTCGCAATCCTTCAGAAGGGGAATCATCGATACACTTGTAAATTTTTCTGACCCATTTTCACAGAGTTCTAGTTGTGATATTTTCTTTGAATGCAAACCAAATGTACACACAGTGCGGGAAATTATGAGAAAGAGTATTGTAATTATTCTTTAACATATCTTGGGAATAAAGGACTCCAGATCAGGAATTTTCTTTGGAGAAGAACTGCCCATATTATGCACAACTGACTAGAAATTCAGCAGTACTCACAAAAGTTGTGTTATTTCACTTTTGAGGAAAATTATGAATGATTTTTAAAAATAGCACTACTTTTTATCATTCTGCCGTTGCTACAACTAGGCTTGCTGACAAGAGTAGCAAAAGGACCAGCTGCCCCAGGATCTGGTGATTTAAAAGGATCTCCTGGCTATTAGCACTGCTACCACAGCAGTAGTACTGCATTCTGGGTGACTGGCTGCCCCCAGCCCTGTCCTTTCCACCCAAGGCCCCACCCCTTCTGGGAGCGCAAAGATAGTTACCCACCTTGCTCAGGGTCTTGGCAATGCTTTCTGCTCCCCTGGCAACAACACAGACATCTAGAAGATGCTTGAAAGCTGCATATGTTCTCTGATGTTTGTTAAACTGCCTTTGTAGCTCAGATAAAAAGGTAGCTCTCACTACTCTATACACGCAAAAGATAAATTAACACTTTGAATGTGTTAATCATAGGCTCAAGTATAGAAGCTAAGAAAGTTCCAAGACAAGGCTACCCTATGAATATTAATTTGTTAGCAGGCAGTAGAATGAAGTATTTTGTTTTTTAAATGGTCCTAAACTACATGTCTTATCCACATGCTGAGATTTTTAACCTTTTCAAATGTTTTCATATTTTCATTGTCCAGGATGGAGGAGACAGTGAAAAATCTACTACAGAATCAAGGGCCTCCAGAGCAGAATGGAGAAGGAACAGTTAATATCATGAAGGTATATCAGGTATTGATGACTTTTAATATGTTTACATGAATTAAAAAAAACCTAACCAGTGATGGCTCTATTTTTCTAATATCCATGTCCAAGTATTTTTGTTCTATGTTTATGAGTTATAAATGTTGATAATCTGTTATTAAATAATTTAACATACCTGGTTCCTCCTTACTCTCTCCATATATTCTCTCCTGACTGCTTAAGGATTTCTCTTTCCAAAGTTACATTTTTATCTTCTTGCTAAACCTACCCTCCCCAAGTTGCCCTCCCTCCCCAGACCTCTTTGCTTTATTATTTTGATTGTTGCATGCTTCACAAGGGAAACATGAACCAAATTTTAAGCCCTATTAAAAAACATGAAATTTATCATAGAATACTAGGACTGGAAGGGACCTCGAGAGGTCATCGAGTCCAGTCCCCTGCCGTCATGGCAGGGCCAAAAACTGATGAAGTGAACATGCGTGAGGGCCGACCATTTTGCCTGACATTCTTTGAACCATTAAAATTAAATGCAAATTAACTATTTTATGCAAAGTTTATTGCAAACGGCATACTTTTCATTTCGTCACATGGATGACAAATCTAAACAGGTGTTAAATCACTCTGCCTTTCATATCTGAAGGCCAGATGAAAAAAAAATCCAGGAAGCTGAAATATATGTCAGGAACATTGTAAAGTACATTACATATTATTGGTAATAAAGGTTGTCTGTCAACTTTTAAGTTCAAAAAATATGAACAGGAACATAACACCAAGTATACATGTTGTGTCCAAATATATTTATAACTGATTTAGACCAACTGACATTAACTGAGATTTTACAATGTATTCATCTCAATACATATGGATTCGTTGGGGGCCATAAAAGATAGATATTGCCAAATTACCTGGGGGGCCGTATTAAACCGGAACACGGGCCGCAATTGGCCCGCGGGCCGGACTTTGGACATTCCTGGTCTAGACCATCCCTGATAGACATTTATCTAACCTACTCTTAAATATCTCCACAGATGGAGATTCCACAACCTTCCTGGGCAATTTATTCAGTGTTTGACTACACTGACAGTTAGGAACTTTTTCCTAATGTCCAACCTAAACCTCCCTTGCTGCAGTTTAAGCCCATTGCTTCTTTTTCTATCCCCAGAGGCCAAGATGATCAACTTTTCTCCCTCCTCCTTATGATACTCTTTTAGATATCTGAAAACTGCTATCATGTCCCCCCTAATAAACATAATAATTTATTATGATAAATTATTCTAGAGTGCCTAAATTACAAGATTTTATCACTATACTATCACAGCACTGTTTTGTGGATCCATATTTTTAGAGGACATACAACCTTGTATAAAGTTGCACAAGTTTGTCTGAATTGTGTGGTAGGTGTGCTTTGTCACTTGAACCTGGGATGCAGAGAAGGAAATATCTCATTTGAAAAGAGAGAGCTAAGGGGTAGAGTAGAGATAGTTCTGGAGAGGAAAAAACATGGAAGAGCCAAGTTGAGAGAGGGAGTTTATACTGTGGCTTATGATTTATTACAATTTTACTTCACCACAGAAGAACATGATATTTGAAATAACTGAGGGTCTTCAGATTCTTTTGAATTTGTTGAACTATATTCTGCCCATTTACAATGACGTTCTGAAATGTCACTTAATGAAATATTTAATAAGGACAATCTCGATATTTTTAATAGTTGCATTTCCTTGGTCAGATAGACCAGGCCTTAGTGCGTATTCATACCTTTACTAACAGTCCTACAAGAAATAAAATGTAGAAAGATGACCTATTTTGCAGTTCTCCAGATAATGAAACAGTTGTGAAAAACTGTGCACAGATAGTCTCATGTTCCTTATTACAACCAGTGGATGAGGACAGAGTAAAATGAAGCCTTAAAACTAAATAAAAGTCACGTTTAATCAGAGGCTTTGGAATCATAGACGTTTAAGACTTAATCTAAAGATATGTGTATGTTCAAATAACTGACATGGAAAGAAATGTTAGAGAGCGATTGTGCAATTTCGTTTTTACAGTAAATGATTAAGAATCACAAAAGTCTCTGTTAACCTGTCTGTACTTTAGTTTGTCTGTAAACAGTGGATACAAATAGTAGCTAGCCTCACACAGTGTTGTTCTGCTGCTTAAATAATTTAAAACTGGGAATCTTTTATGGGAGGTCCTTTCTAATTGCAATATATATATATATTATTGTTCCATTTATTTGTTATATAAAAATCATGCTCAGAAAGTTTATTTTTATCTTGAAAGGATGGCCAGCCTAGTACATTATATGATATTCAGTGATGAACAGAAGGGTAAAAAATGAGGAAAATAGTTCTTGAACATTTTACTTACTCTGAATTAGTTTTAATTTCAGCCACATCCATATCACTTTGTTCAATTTTCTGCAAGATTTCACAAAAATAGGTTTTTGTTTGCTGAGATTTTGAGGACTATTTGAATTCCTGTGTTCACATGCCAGCAAGGACATTCACACAATATGGTTATTTGTTATTTCGTGCTGGAAGAGTCTACTAGATGTATATAGTGTTTGTCATCCTGTAACTCAGGTGACCAGTCATAACAAGCAACTGCCAATAGCTGAAGGCATCACCACAGCAAATAGTTTGCAGAGAATTCATTTTCTTAAAAACTCACAAGGTATTTGAATAGTCACTAATAATTTTATGAATAAATTACCAAAATCCAATTAGGCACATAAATTATAAACAGAAGTTAGATAAATTTGTCATGGTTTGTATTACAAATACTCTGTGCAATACAAAGCTGTCATATGTGAGGCATGCTAAAAAAAATCCCATTTTTTTATATAGCAACATGTTTCACCATTGGAAGTAACATATAAAAATAAAATCTTAGAGGTTACCTTGTCATTTTGATATACACCCTTCTTTCAGTGCAGTAAGACCACATGTGAACTCCTGGATCCTTATCCCAGTCTTACCAGGGATACAAACACAGTCCCCTTGGACTCCAGTCTATCTTGCTACCAGGAAAAACTGGAGTTTGTGATCAAAGGTTTCTCAGATTAAAAGATCACATCGTATCAGGTTGCTCCAAGTCCCAAGAGACCAGTCAGGGTACGTCTCAAACTACATGGCTCCGTCGACGGAGCCATGTAGATTTGTTGTTTTGACAAAGTTAAATGAAGCCGCGATCAATTAAATCGCGGCTTCATTTAACTTTGTCAAAACAACAAATCTACATGGCTCCGTCGACGGAGCCATGTAGATTTGTTGTTTTGACAAAGTTAAATGAAGCCGCGATCAATTAAATCGCGGCTTCATTTAACTTTGTCAAAACAACAAATCTACATGGCTCCGTCGACGGAGCCATGTAGATTTGTTGTTTTGACAAAGTTAAATGAAGCCGCGATCAATTAAATCGCGGCTTCATTTAACTTTGTCAAAACAACAAATCTACATGGCTCCGTCGACGGAGCCATGTAGATTTGTTGTTTTGACAAAGTTAAATGAAGCCGCGATCAATTAAATCGCGGCTTCATTTGACTTTGCCTATGTGTCTAATCTACGTGTCTCTGACGACAGAGGCATGTAGTCTAGACACAGCCTCAGTGACTCCAGATCCATTGGTACTCTAGATCTTGCAGCAGAGACAATATTGACAGCTAATCGTATAGTAATCTAACTAGAGGTTTATTAGCTAAGAAAAGGAAATGAAAGTTATATAAATGCTAAAACAGGTAAAATATATGCATCAGTGGGTCACAGTTTGTAATTCCAAGTGGTGGCAGTGGTATATTATGCTGCCGGTTTCCCAAATATTAGAATTTCCTATAAAAATCCAAACAGTCTAGAGATGAAGGATCTTTCCTTGAATCCATACTTGTGGCTTTTCACAGAAAACAAGTTGACAGCTTCCAGCTGACTGCCCACATGGACTTTTTCATTGATGACAAAGAACAAGGAATGTTTTTGAGTCTTTGGCCTCCAATCATCATACACAATGATCATTTGCTTTGAAATGAGCTCTTTTCTGTTAGAATTCTTCAGTTGCCTTCTACAAGGTTTCTTCCTCTTTTGGTTTATACATAACCTTTAGTTATTGGGATATGTATAATGTAAATGTTTGTTACTACATTATAGCTAAGGCTACGATTTAATCATGGTTATTTTTAGTAAAAGTTATAGACAGGCATTAACAAAAAGTCTCAGCCTCTGAACTCTCTTTGACTTTTCCTAAAAATGATTTTTCCTAACTAACTCTTAAGTGGTGGGGAGAGAAGGCACTCTCATGGATACTGCTTCTCTGGAGATAGGGGGGAGCTCTGGGAGATGCTCCTCCTGTTGAGGGGGGACGCAGTTCAGGGCTCCATTGATGCTGTTGCTGGAGGAGGGGTAACTGGTACTTCAATTGGGGGACACTCACCCAGGGTCCTGCATCGACTGCTGGGGAGAACAGCCTTGAACACTTCTGCTGCTCTTGGGCCACTGTTCTGGGGCAACTCGAGGATCCCCTGTCTGGTGCCACCCAATTAGCAGCCAGTAAAGCTGACTATAGGTCCAACCACAGCTGCTTGGGCAGCCCTGGAGTCAGCCGCACTGGTCACTGCAGAAGTCACGGAGCTCCCAGAAAGTCCAAGGATTCATAACTTCCATGAAAGACCTGCAGCTTTAATGTTACTAGAATACAGACAAGTGAAAACAATTCAAGTAATATCCCATTAGTGTTCATTATATTTACACACGAAATATACTCATATACATTTAACATTCACGTCATCTGTGCTAATAGGCAAGTGAATTGGCCCAGGGCTTTGGCATGAGTTGACATCTGTTCTGCTAGAGCATTCCTAATAGATTGGGCAACAATTTTAGTTTGCTTTGAAGAATAATGAAGATCATTGTTACCGAAATATTTCAAGACTGTAAGTATTGCCAGATTGTCAAAGTTAAGAGTGAAAAACCCCCAACATTCCAAAAGAGTTGCAAAGTTTCCAGACACATCCCCACTACACCACTTGGGAGGGA